TATGCACTTCCAACGAATTGTCGAACTTTAGAAAATAGTAAAAAAAATTACTTCGTCGCACAGATACAGCATTTAGTCGTTCAAAATTGAGTCGTTCAATGTGTTTTTCAGTTCGGTTACCTGCGTGCTTTTAATTGCTCTGTGCTTTGTGCTCTATTTAAAGGATTACATAGTTCCAACCAATCAACAACCAAGTGGTGGTTCAACTGTGAAAACGCCAAGAACAACAGTAACAGTTACCGGCGAAACAGTATTTGCGTCTGGAAATAATCGAAATTTTAGCAAAAATATTAATAATTGTAATAATCCAAGTGCAACTGCAACGGAATCACAGCGAAAGCGACAACACAGTCCAGAAGAGGAATCGGCAGAAACCAACGGTGTTGTTTGTGGAACGCAGTTTGATATTGATGAAAACAGTAAGTTATTATTGGACTCAATAATATATAGATAGTTTAGGTGTTGCTATGTAATAAGTTTTCCTGGTGTAAAAAGTATTTTATTTTTTTATTGGTAAATTTAGAACATTTCAATCGTAAATTGTATGCCTTTTTACCTTTACGTACCGTATGTGCCTTTGAAAGCGAGTAGCGCTAGCGCACATCTAAAAATAGTATCTAAATTTAGTTTTCCGTAATATTTGTTCGCTTTAGATACATTTTTCTATGTACGTTGTGTTTCTTAAAAGAAATGAAAATTGGTTGTACATGTGGTTCTATACCGTTTTGATAAACTTTTTCTTAAATGTTACAATATTTTAAATCGAGAAATTAATTTTGTTGATTTTAAAGTACGTATACATAAATTATTTATGTATACAATTTTGTTTTGTTTTCGTCAGCCAGCATTATACCATACATATCCTCCGCATTTCTTATGATTCATTTCCAAAACATGATCTATATTCTAAAAATAAACAGTTACGTATAATTACGTTATTTTTTAAATTTTAGCTTAAAAATATATATTTTGCACCAGATGATGTATGATTATGTTTTTATTATTTTGTAATAACGCGTCACTTTTTCACTATTTTCTAGCACTGAATTTTTCGCAAGTATTTAGCACACCAATTAGCGCTAAGACTGGTCCAAAATCTTCGATATCCCCTTCAATAGAAGACAGCATTGCTGAAAGAAAGAAATTTCCCGAAATACAAAGGCAACGAAACGAATATTCCGCCACTGTAAAATCGACGCCTACAGCGTCTAGTCCACTCTTAAAATTTACTAAAGCCAATAATAACCCCTTACTGCCAGTAAATCTCTTGAACTTGGCCGCCAGTCTAACAACAACACAAATACCACTCACACCAACAATATCAACCGCCGGCGCAGCAAATACAACGCAAACTGCTTTTGGTGGTGGTGGTTTGAATGTTGAATCTATTTTATTGCAACGTTTACAGTTAATAAAACACTTTTTGAACTTGACCGCGCCAGCGGTTAGTGGCCTTAATCAACGATTACAAAGGCAAAACGAGGAGATCTCGGCAACTGCAAGAGCATCCTGCTTAGCTACACAGCGAGTCTTACCGAAGGCATTAATGGTATATGAAAATAGACCCGGGAGCATGGAACGTGAAGTTGTGGTAAATTCAGCCAGTTTGGAAGATGTCGCTCTGAGTGAGGTTTGTACAAAAGCTGGGCCCGAATCGCGGCATTCGATAGCGAGTGTGCTTCGCTCGTTTGAAATTGTATTGTGGAGAAAATAGCTGCCATTTTGTTTCAGTCGATTTCCGCGTCGATGCCGCAATTCGGGCCCTGATTTGTATAAATCTTTATTTAACTTCTTGTTTTTTTTAGTTGAGCGACAATCGCGCGCAGTCAATCCAATCGTTGAATAGCGTAGAGACGCCCACTCCCGATACCACGCCCAGCTTCGATGAACTGCAACAGCGTTTGGAGACCTCAAATCGCAACATACAAAATATGCAAGAGCAGCAACAACAACTATTGCGTTTGCAGAATGCCGCTAAGCAACATTTGAGTGAAATGGAGCATCTACGTCAACAGGCAGGCACTTTAAGTTTTGGCGCAAATCAAGCAAACGCTTCGAACAATGGCGATAGTGCACCCGAATACGAGTCCATAGATCAGGTGCATTCAGATATGGCAACATTGGTTGGTCGCATGAAGAATCTCACCACGTTCATACAAAATCAAAATGAATTAAGCAATTTGCTCGGAGATGACGGCCCTGAAATACTTGCTGAACAAGAAGCGCTTCAGCGCAAGCTAGAATCCTTGCGCGCACAACGTGATGATATGCGTACATTGGTTGGTGAATTGCAGGAAATCAATCGTACTGCCGAGCGCAGAGTTGGTGCTGATTCGAAAGAGAATGCACAAATAGCTGATAACCAACAGTCGACTACGGGAGCAGTTCTGGCGCAAGCACGCGAAGAATCACCACCAGCAAATGCAGCACGTGTTGTTCCAGTAGCCTACACACGCAACGTGCCCATACAACTAACGAATGGCAGCATGCCCCATCTAATTGGAAATGTAACCGCTGACGAAGATAATGACGATCCTGCAGAGAAAGCTGCCACCGCTGTGCTTATACAACAGAAAGTTGCCGACATAGAAACAATGCGCAAGCAGCTACAACGTCTTAAGGACATGATGGAAACTGTTAATATGATCGAAGCGCGCACATCGCGTGACGTAAACGACATTGGCCGAACACCACCGCGTGAAATGCGCTCACAGTCGCGTACGACTGGTTCTTCTGGCGCTTCGTTTGATCGCGAATGCACGCCTGTTTCGGTGGTACCCGCACATCACTCTAGTGGCGCTGAGGGTGCTGATGACGATTCGTATCTTACACGTAAAATGCGTATGATCAACGACGTCACGTCCGATTTACGTGCACAGGCTGAAAGCTTGCAGGCCGAGCGCGATCGCATTAAAGCGTTGAAAGAAGAAATTGTGCTGCGTAAGCAGCAAGCCGCTGCTGCAGCACAGCTTGGCGAAGACGCATTGAAACGTAGCAGCCTCACACCTACACCTACGCCACGAAGTCGCAAGCAACGCGAACTAGACACTCCGTCTCCACCGCCACTGACTAAGACCGAAAATGAACGCGATCAACTCAAAATGGAATACGAGACAAAGAAAAGAGAATTCGAACTGCTTTGTCAACGTCTGCAGCAAGATGATACCACCACACAGTCGCAGCCCACCAGCAGCAGCAATAATGCACCGCTACGCCGCGATACCGTCTCCGAAGCTGATGACGAAGCGGATGGCGATGAAGAGTTGATTGATTCGGATTTCGCCACTACAAACACCGCGACCGCAGCACGCCAATATTTCACAGCACCACAACAACAATCAACACCGGCGCAGCAGCATCGCGCTGCAGTAAAAGCTGCTGTAACTGCACATACCCAGGCAACTGGTGTGGCTTCGGCAAAAGTAAATGCACAGCATCGTCAAAGTCAAGGCCAGCACTTGCCAATAGGAGCATTGGGGAAGGAAGATAGTTTCGAAATGAATCAAACATCTTCGACAGGAGTTGAGCGTCGTCATTCTACGCTAGCTAATGCAACTAATATCACACAGGATGGCGCTTCACTTGAGGCTGGCAGCGTACAATCCGGCAGTTCGCAATCTGCATTCTCAATGCCACCACCAATGCCGGCCATGGGACCATGTAGCAGTTGGCGTAAGTTTCATAATTATAACGAATTGATAACTGCTGAGGGAAAATTAGAATTTTTTCTGTGAATTAGAATTTCCATTCACAATATTACTAACTAGAAAAAAATTCGTCTTGTCGAGCGGCGTCTTAAAAGTAATTTTGCCTGGGACAACTACGCAGGTGTAATGAAAAAAGAATTTCTACTTTTCCCCCGGAAATGCATATTTACTATCTAATAGCTCGAGAGAGTCTTTAAAATTAAAAACACTTAGCTTCACATATCACCAATAATTTTTGCATAAATATCTTTGTAGTCCTTATATAGAATAAAAAAATTGTCAAATATTTGTGTTGTTGCGCTATCTACCGAGTCCACGTTTAGCTAAAACTAATACTTCTCAAATAGCGCATTCAAATTATCAGTATGAACCAATCTCGATAACGTCTAAAATACCAGACTCAAGCGCCAGCTACTGGTTTTTGTGCATCTATTTCCTAATATAAATATGTACGTATGTACTTTCGAAGTTTCTCGACTCCACCCAGCGATGGAGTATGCGCCGAGAAAGCAAACAAAAACTTCATCGCAATGGATGAGAGGCTTAGGAGATCATAAATTAGTTTTTAGCTATGAGAAATAAGAAAGAATCAATTTCTATTAATCAATTTTCAAATACTAGCGCCGATGCCACCGATGCCCAACACTTGGAACCCACAACTTTATTACGGTTTTGGTGCTACAGCGCCGCCACAGCAGCCAAATGCATCCCAACCGAACTCGGCAACCACAACTCAAAGCGTAGGTGCACCATTCACGCCTGTTGGCTTGCTTCCACAATCTACAGTCAATAGTGAATGCATTTGCAGTGCAGCAAATAGTGCCACTACCGCACAGATTGTTACCGGACCGACACCAACTTCAAGTTCCACAAATACTGCTGCGCAATTGGCCACCGATCCAGTGTTGCTGCAGCAGTTTGTACAAACTCAACAAATGCTTATAAATTCTGTGTGCCAATGTAATCAGATGTTGTGGCACCAACAGCGAGAAATTGATGCACTGAACAACACGATACATGTGGTAAGTAGTTATATTAATTTCGCTTGAAAAATATTAATCAACCCTTCACAGCTTCAAGATCGTTTACTGGCCTTGACCAGTGGTGTCAACGCTGTACCGCTCGCTGCTGATATGCCCTACACCATACGCGCCGAATCGGTGCCACCGCCCAGCCTAACTGCTGGCACCTTGCCCAACAATCTCTACTTGAGTAACTCGAATCGTGCACAATCCGAGCAGCCGGCTCTCTTCTTGCCCGGTATGACAACAGCCGCGCGCAATAGCGCTTTTTCCAACTATCAACATCATCAGCAACAATATCAACAGCGACAACAACGTGGACACATCGCTAGCGCAGCTGGTGGCGTCACTGCCTCCAATAGCTACAATTTTAACAGTGAGTCACAGCAACACAGCAACATTGCATCGGCAACCAGCGCCAACGCCGGCCTCTATAGCACATTAAATAACGCCGCACCACCCCCACCCCCGCCCAATCAAGCAGCACAATCGCATTACAACAACGAAGTGCCACAATCGCCACCATTACATGGGAATGCCGCCGGACCAGGACCGATTTTTATGCATCATCACAACAATGCCATACATCAGAATAATGCCAATTTGCGTACACAAAATCATTATGCCAACAATTTGCATCAACAGCAGCAACAACAACAACAACAACAACAGCATGGACATAGTAACATCAATATTGGCGGCGGTAATACGCTGAATAACCAAGTGCCACCTGGCAATCGCGCTAATAATTATTGGGACAATTTTCGAAGGTAATTTCGATTCATTCAATTAGAAAGAATGTGAACAAATGTCTTTATACTACAATTGTTGACTATCGCTGAGTATGTAATACTGGTATGTGGTGTAATTCTCTAAATACTTACATATTTCTCTTTCAACTTGGGTACTATCAATACACATTTGCGCATATGTACATAGATACATATGTATGTACCTAGACTTGTACAATTACTCAATATCAAATCGTTTATTTTTTATTATTTATCATACCATATAAATTTCCAAAAAATAGCTTTTAAAGCAAATTTCAATGAGTACTATGGGCGTTTCCACGTTTCTTCTCCTCAGAAAATATATCTTTACGCACTATTTCAAGAAAATAAAAAAGGGTTTTTACATTCTAGCACTTATTCGTTGTTTCATTAGTTCTAAACACAAGTTATATATTTTGTTATTACTCATTTTAATTGTATAAAAATTAGTTCATTATTATTTATCAATTATTCAATAAAAAAAATAGTGTGCAGCACATTGGAACACATTTATATTTCATTTTCGTATTGAAAACAAAGAAAAAATACCTGACGGTGTGGTAAGTTTGCTTGCACAATTGAGGTTGAAGTCGCTTTATATTTTGCAATAACTTCCTTATTCTTAACTAACATCATATCACCTTTGCAGTAATAAAATGTAAATATTTGCTTTTATCGTTTTAAGTTAATACATTTTTC